CCCCCCCCAATTTTCCTTACATTTCTACTTCATTTTCTCTGCTAGTTCGCATTCCTTCTCTGTGTTCCTCAAATTTTGTTGGATTTCAGGCTGTGCTATAAGCCTCTCATCTTAGCTTTCATTCTCTCCATTCAGTGGTTTCATTGCCACTATACACTGAGTATTCTCAAAGTTGTACCTCTGGGCCAAAGCTCTCATCTCGAGACATAAATATGCCCAGCCATCTACCTGATATCATCATATGTATATTTTGCAGACAACTCAGTTTTAATATGTCCAGACCTGAACCTATCATCTCTCTTCCACCAAATGTTACTCTTCTAGTGTTGCTTACCTCTATTCAATGGCCAAACCTTCACCCTAGTTGTTGAAGAAACACGAGTCATCTTCAATTCCTGCCCTTCCTTCAATCCACATTACATATGTATCAAAGATATGTGTATTCTTGATATATATAATATATATGTATATGTATTTATATATGTCTCCTTGAGACATTGTATTTATATGTCTAAAAGTTTCCTAAACTTCCCTTTATCTGACTTCTTCCTACCATCTTCATCTCTGAGCTTATCTTTTACTGCTCTCCACTCTCTTCTTTATTCATCACTAGACTTCTTTCAGTTCTTCACTCTCCTTAGCCCTAAGACGTCATGTAAGTTATTCCCTACCTAACACACACACACACACACACACACACTTTTTCCCCTTCTCCTTCTGTACTAAAAGACAATATGTTAATGGAGAATTTGAGGTGCAGAAAGCCTACAAATCAGGAGATTATTACCCTTGAAAAGCCAGTTTTTATTCACAGTTACCAAGAAAAAGTGGCATGACTCTGATAGGGTTGTTATGATCAAATAAATTAGTAAGTATAAGACACTTGTTCCTGTTTGAGCACCTATTTACATGTTTATGATTCACGAAAGATCCCTCCTCTTTGAGTTGCACAGTCATATCTTTATCATTTATCTACTGTTTTTCTTTTTCTTACTGATTTGTAGATGTTCTGTATTTATAGTAGGTACCAATCATCCGTCACTTTCCGAGTTGTGAATATACTCTCCCTGTCTATGGCATATCTTTATACTTTGTTTATAGCATCAATTTTTGAGGAAAATAAGTTGTAAAATGTCTTAGTTAAGAAATTCTTTCTCCCCATGTACATAGACATTATCCAACATTTTCTTGTAAGTTTTAAATTTTGCAGTTTATTCTCAGGTGCTTTGTTTGTGTATGATATGAGGCAGAGATTAAATATAATTTTTCCATATGAGTCATTTTTTTTACATTTTTACATCACTTCTGATATATTGTTTACAAATACCTGGATAATCAATTCTATTCCTTTCAATTAAGCTTATTAAGTTATTCAAATAAAATCTACAACTACAGAATTGTTTCTCCTTGTACAATATATTTTGAGGACATATTATCAAGTGCCTATATATTTAGAATTGTTATATCTTCTTCATGAATTATTTCTTTTATCAAAGTATTAATTTATTTTATCCCTAATTAATATTTTTTAATCTTAATGTCTCTTATATCTGACTTTCTTGTGGTTATTTTTCAGTAAATCTTTACCACACTTTTCAAAATTTATGTATTTTTATATGGTAAATATTTCTCCTACAACAAGACAGTAGATATTTTCTAATGCATTCTGACCATCTTTGCTTTTAACTAGAGAATTTAGTCAATTTACATTTATTGTGATTAATGTTATATTTGTATTTATTTCTTACATATTATTTTATGTTCTTTATCTTGCTTTTTCTATGCTTTTTCCTACTGTCTTGCCTTCTTCTGTATGATTTTTTTCTTCATTTTCTTTTCTTTTTTGACTAGTTTAGAAGTACTGTATTCTATTTATCTTACTTTAGTGAATATCCTTAAAAGTTAAACAAGGAGAGTTGGCTTGATCCACTAACCTTCTTCCAAATAATACAGAGAACTTGTAATAATACAATACTCATGTTGTTATTAATGGTGTTTTAATTTCACCTTATTTGTAATGCCAATTAGTCACTCTAATTATACTGGCAATGTCTTTTTACTTTACCAGTTAACTATTTTCTTTGTTCCAAAACTTTCCTGTACCTCTTACCCTCCCTCTGAGTTCAGTTTCCTTCTTACTGAAGTATTTCCTTTATAAATTCTTGCACAGAGTACATAAGTGATAAACTATACTTTTTGTTTTGCTTTGATCTGAAAATGTCCCTTTTAACCTCATTCTTGAATAATATTTTAGTGTGGATATAAAATTCTAAGTTGATAGCTATTTTCTCTCAGCACTTTGAGGAGACAATTATATACTGCCTTCCATTGTTGCTATTAAGAAATTGCCCCTCAGCCAAAATGTTCTTTGGTAGCTAGTTTTTCTCTATTGTTTGAAATCCTTACATTTTTCTTTGGAGTTCAGAATTTTATTATAATAAAATTTAATAAATTTGTATGTGGCTTTTATTTAGTATGCTTCAGAGTCATTGTGATCTGAGGCTTTGTGTCATCAATTCTGGATAATTCTCATTGTCTCTTGTAGTATGGCTACTCCTTTATTTTTCTGTGCTCTTCTTTAGCACTAAATTAGGAAAGCATTGAGCTTTCTCCTATCTCAGAGACTGTATTTCATCTTTTTCATCTCTTTATCTGTGTCACCATTCCATGTGACTTCATCTCTATTTTTCATTTAACTAATTTCTCCTCAGCTTTGCCTAATATTCTATGTAACCCATTCATTGAGTTTCAATTAAAAACTACATTTTCCTGTCTGTAAATTCCTGTCTGTAAAAAACTATGTTTTCCTGTCTGTAAATTATATTTGTTTCTTTAGAGAATATGCCTGATCTGTTTTGATGATGTCCTATACTTTTCTCATATTTATGATACTCCCTTTTATGTCATTAACCATTTCAAATATACTTACCTGACTCTGTAAATTTTATTTTGTGAAGTTTTAAGGATGCTCTTCTTGTTGTGCTGATTCTAGTTCATGATACACTTTTTACCATTGGGACTGTATGTTTATCTTTAACCCCACTTCATAACTGGGATCCTATGCAGGCTGGATTTAACATACATACCTCCAGATGATTATATTTTATCAGACACTCTAAGAGGGTCAGCAGAACATGACCATTTTTAGGTTATGTTGAAGGGAAAAGATACAGGCCCAAAATGGCAACACTCCTGTTAAAAGCCTATATGATACCAAACCTAGAATTAATACTTGACCTAATTGCAGTTTCAACCTCTCCCAGAAATATAATCATAATCAACCAGTCTGGAATTTCCTGGTCAAGCACTAGTTGGGTAATCTGTCATGTGGGCCTACTCCATCCTCACCTCCATAGAAAGAAGAGGTACTCTGCATGACAAAAGCCCTAGCCAACATCCCCCACCCCCAAATAAGACTTTATGGTCTAAAAGTAATTCTTTTATTTTGTTAGTAGCTCCCTTGCCCCACCATTCTTCCTTTAAGAATTTTACATTTTGTACAACCCCTTGGAGTCCCCTTCTAATTGCTAGATGGGATGCTGCCTGATTCATGAATCACTTAATAAAGCCAATTAGATCTTCAAATTTAATCAGCTGAATTTTGTTTTTTCTTTTTAACAATTTCTTAGCTTAAAGTTCCATGGACCATGCAAGTAGTACAAATGCATACCCAGAACTTTCATGCTGCAAATGAGTTCTCAGGAGAATCTTCTTTTTTCCATCTAGACCTGGACCGCTAAGACAAATTCCTGTATTTTTCTTTTATGAGATAATAAGCAGATTTTTTTCTATCTAATCCATGCTTTCACTGAGGGTTTAGTTCATTAAGATTCCTGGCCTTAGTCTGAAACTTCATGTCCATCATTCTATTTTACACTAACCTAAAGCCTCATCTTCAGTGTCTGTGTAAATGCTAAAACTCAAGCCTGTTGCACATTCTAGAGCTTACCACATAATATTCATGTTCTTCTTTATTTTTGGTTTTCCAAGATTTCTCTTACCTTCATGGGAGCTCAGCTTTGCATTTCAAAAGGAATTTATTATATTTCTTCTAGCATTACTGGCTGATTTGGAAAGTTTTTAAAAATTATTTAGACTTTCCTGTTGCTAGAAATGGAAGTTATAATTATTTGTTCAGTGTCTGCTGCTTCTAAACTGCAAGATCCAACTGTGAGTCTTGGTCATAGCCAATTTCTGAAAATAAAAATAGTGACTACCACAAGACAGTACTTACCTAATACTTGTTAACTAAATATTAAATTAACCCTGGAATGAATATTATGGGAGAACTAGCAATTGTATGAGAAGAGAAGGTCTCAAGTGCATACGAGAGCATCAAATCTAAATTTTCCTAATGCACATTTTCAGAAAAGACATCCAATGTTTAGTAAAGGGAGTAATTTACATAGTGATTTACATGGAAGGAAGTGGAAATTATCTCTTATGTTTAATTTATCTTTATTGGTGAAAGTATTACAAATATCTCCTTTTTCCCTCATTGATCCCCTCCACCTTATACCCTTCCCCCAGGCCTTCACTATTGTCAGTATCCAAGGGTTATGCATATATGCAGATAAATTCTTATGTTAATCTCTCCCCCCCACCCCCACCCCTGCCTTCCCTCTGAGATCCCTCAGTCTATTCCATTCTTCTATGTAACTGGATCTATTTTGTTCATCAGTTTATTTTGATCATTAGATTCCACATATGAATAAGATCATATGACATATGTCTTTCTCTCACTGGCTTATTTCACTTAGCATAATACTCTCCAGGTCCCAACATGCTGTCTCAAAGTGTAAGGGATCCTTCTTTTTTACAGCTGCATAGTATTCCATTGTGCAAATGTCTGAGAAATGCTTGATATGATTTCAATTTTGTTAAACTTGTAGAGACTTGTTTTGTGTCCTAACATGTGATCTATCTTTGAGAATGCCCCATGTGCACTTGAGGAGAATGCCTATTCTGCAGCTTTGGAGTGGAATGTTCTATAAATGTCAGTTAAATCCACCTGACCTAGTGTGTCATTTAGAGTCACTGTTTCCTTGTTGATTTTTTTGTCTGGAAGATCTATCTAGGGTGTTAAAGTCCCCTACTATGACTGTATTGCTGTCTATCTCTCCTTTAAAGTCCTCCAGAAGTTCTTTTTGTGTGTTTTTTCCTAGCCTGTGTGTCTTTTATTCTGAGGTGGGTCTCTTGTAGACAGCATATATTTGGGTCTTGTTTTCTTATCCATTCAGCTACCCCATATCTTTTTATTGGGACAATTAATCCATTTGTATTTAAGGTTATTAATAGGTACTTATCTACTGCCATTTTATTTCTTTATGCGTATGTTTCTCATTCTCTCTGTTTCAACTTATTATTACAGCAGTACCTTTAACTTTTCTTGCAATGCTGGTTTGGTGGTGATAAATTCCTTAAGCCTTTCTTTGTCTGGCAAGCTCTTTATTTCACCATCTATTTTGAATGATAGACTTTCTAGATAGAGTAGTCTTGATTTCAGATCTTTGTTCTGCATTATTTTGAATACTTTATGCCATTCCCTTCTGACCTACAAAGTTTCTGATGAGAAATCATCTGACAGCCTTATGGGAGCTCCTTTGTAGGTAACAGATTGCTTTTCTCTTGCTGCCTTTAATATTCTTTCTTTGTCTGGGATTTTTGGCATTTTAATTATGATGTTTTCTGACTGTGGGTCTCTTTGGGTTCTTCTTGCTTGGGACTCTCTGTGCCTCCTGAACTTATGTGACTTTTTCCTTCACTAGGTTAGGGAAGTTTTCTGCCATTATTTCTTCAATTGGTTTTCCAACACTTGCTTACTTTTGACCTCTTCTGGCACTCCTATGATATGAGTACCTTGTTTGAGGTTTTCCACACTCCACAGCTTCTAGTTTCCTCTGCTGGGGCTGGGTGTGCTTGAACAGTACCAAGATGTGCACCAAGGTCTGCTTTTTCAAGCCCTGGGTCCAGAAGCAAATCAGGCAAAGACTCAAAGCATCCAGATGCTGTTATTTAGACTTTTAATGAGCCTCAGGCTGTAGGAACTCCACAGGGTGGGGTGAGAGGTTTCCCAGCAGGGTGCAGCAATTGTCGTCCCC